CCTTTGGACACATTGTCAGGTGCGACCAGTCCCTGGAGAAGGATGTCATGCTTGGTCAAGTGGAGGGCAGTGAGAGAGGGAGGCCCTGGACGAGCTGGACTGACACTGCAGCTGTGACAGTGGGCTCAGACTCAACACTTGGGAGGGTGGTGATTTCTTCTGCGCGTGAGTCAGAGCCCATTGAAGGACCTAAGAATAATAATAACTACCACCTTCACAGGAGTAGATGCCAGGGCTCTGTTCCCTCAGAGCTGCTAGTGGGTTTGAACTAGTGACCTTTTTGTCATCACCAAGAGCTTAACCAGGACTCCCCATCATATAGAGAGATGTGTGTGTGCAAGCGTGTGTACACACACACACACACACACAATCTATACACTAGCTCATTGGTTCTCTGCCTCTGAAGAACCCTGACTGACATACTTGCCAAAGCCGAGCACACCCTCTGGCGTTCAGCACGTGGCCAGCAAGTGGGTGTGGAATGAACAGACCGGAAGCATGCGTGAGCGAGCTCTTGGCTTCAGACTACATCCGAGCCCACATCCGGGGTCGTGTGGGGCTGTTACCTTCAGCTTCCTCCTGGCGTTGAACTTCTTCAGGCAGTCCACGGTCTCCTGTCTGTGCATGCAGGAGGCCACGGTGGAGCGGTGCTGTGGGGAGAGGGGCACTGTGAGCAGGGCAGGCTGGGGCAAAGGCCTGCGTGAGGAGCCCTGAGCCGGCTGGCGTCTGGGGGGGAGATGCCCTTTGCTGTAGGGGCATCATAACTCACTGGAATGTTTAGCACCCCTGGCACTGGCCATTCCATGGCAGTAGTACCTCCAGTGTCGAAGCCAACCCAGAATACTCCCCATTTCCAAATGCCCCCTGGGGCCACAGTGGGTGGGAGGTCTGAGTCTGTGCACTGAAGCTCCCTGGGGCCCAAGCTGGGGGCCTGGGCCTGACACCTGGGGACTCTGGGAAGGGCCCAGAAGGGGACTCGGGGAAGGCTCACGGAGATCCAGGGGTGCTTGAGGGCCTCGGCGGCCGTGATGCGTTTGGACGGGTTGATGGTCAGCATTTTATTAATCAGGTCCTTGGCTTCCGGAGTAACGGTGTCCCATTCCGGTGATGGGAACTGGAAGGGGCAGAGAGGCCAGATTTGCCCAGCCTGCCCCAGGCCACCCCTGCGATCCCCCAGCCCCTGACTGGCAGGGGAGCAGGCAGGGGGCCCACTGCCCACTGTCATGGGCGGCTGGAGCCAAGGAAGTGGGGTTCCTCAATGCAGGGGCCCTGCTGGGACCAGCAGATCTTTGGAGCAGGGGCAGAGGGAAGGGGACCCCCGCCTCTGTTATCCTGAGCTTCCGCCTTATCTGGAAAGGTGCTGGCCAGTGGTTACAGAAGTAGAAGGCCTGGTTTGAGCTGTGTGACCACCCCTGCTCCCCCATCTGACCGCCCCCCCAGCTGAGGACTGACTGTGGTATAAAAAGCTCTGACACACAGTGGATAGATGTCAGCAGAAAAGCAGGATTGCTTGGTAGCTAAACCACGGAGGCCAGGGCCAGACTGTCTGGGTCCAAATGCTACTTACGTAACCCCTCTGTGCCTCAGTTTCCCTCATGTAAAATGAGGATAATCCTAGCCCTAAAACCAAACTCACTCCCATGGAGCGGATTCTGACTCACAGCAGCGCTACAGGACAGGGTAGAGCATTCCCTGTGGCCCCCTGAGGCTGCAACCCTAACGGGAGTTGAGAGCCTCATCTTTCTTGCATGGGGCCGCTGATGGTTTTGAACGGCTGGCCTTGCCGTTAGCAGCCCAGCTCACTGGCACCATGCCACCAGGGCTCCTCAGGAGTAGGACCTCAGTGGTAGGAAAGACCCTCAGTGGGGCTGTGGGAAAAGCTGTGGGCTGCTAACCACGAGGTCCAGGGTTCAAACCCACGAGCCACGTGTTGAAAGGAAGGGCAGGCTCTCTGCTCCCACAGAGAGTCACAGTCAGGGCAACCCCATCAGTTCTGCTCTGCCCTGTAGTCTCTGTGCGTCTGAGTCGGCTTGACGGCTCAGGGCTGAGGTCCCTGGCTGAAAGGAGAGCCGGCTGTGTCATGTCAGGTCTCGGGGACTCAGAGGGGTCCGAGAGGTGACATCGTAGCCGTGTGCTTCAGCTGATTTTCATCAGCTGATTTTTCGGAAGTAGGTTGCCTGTCCTTTCTTCTGCGAGGCCTCTGGGTGCACATCAGGCAGCGGCTGCGTTCGCTAAGCGTGTGTTGCTCCCAGGACAAAGGAGCACCAGCTATTGTTGCTAGATGGGACCCTGATGGCACTGTGTCCTATCGAGGCACTGGGCTGCTCCAGCCGCCAGCAGCTTTGCAGGAGAAAGGCCCGTCTGCCTTCATAAAGAGTTCAACTTAGAAAGCCTGGGCGGGGTTGCTAGAAGCAGCATCAGCCCGATGGCAGTAGGTTTGGTGTTTGGGATTTATTCTTGGAGGAGAGAGGGGGAGACAAAAGTCTAGCCTCTGGGGCTTGCTCCCTAAGACCTGGCCACCTTTGGGTGCTGTCTCTGCCTTTTGGGGGGAGGGGGAACTTTAGGCTCCCAGCCACTAGGTGGTTCAGGTTCATTTATCACTGGGCTGGGGCTCATCTCCTGCCCCAGGGCCAGAGCATGAGGGGCCTGGGTGGGGCAGGAGGGAAAAAGGGTGCTTCCCTGGGTCTGTGACTTGGGGGGGGGGCAGAAGAGGAGCGACACTCACATCATAGGCGCCAGCTTTGATCTGCTGGTACAGCCGGTGCTGGTCCTCATCCCAGAACGGGGGGTACCCCACCAGCAGGATGTACAGGATGACCCCTGGGGGGAGGGGAGGACAGAGAGCCTCAGCCTGTGGTGGGCAGGAAAGGCGAAGGCTGGGGAGGTCGGGGGGAGTGAGGGAGAGAGGAGAGAGGGGCAGCCGAAGGGGGAGATGGTCTTTGCTCCCAGGACGGACTTACCACAGGCCCACAGGTCCACAGGCTTTCCATAGGGATCCTTCCGCAGCACTTCCGGGGAGAGGTATCCAGGTGTCCCTGCAAAGCCTGCTCACAGACACACACAGAGGATGAGACTTAAGTGTCTCGGAGCCAGACCTGCTGCTGCGAGAGGGGACGGGGCTGCCCTGGAGGTGGGAAGACACCCCCCTCCCGCATGTCCACTGCACACCCCCACTTCACCCAGGACAGACATCAGGAAGCCGCAGACCAGAGCCGGCAAACACGGCAAACATACTTTCCACTCCAGAGCCAAGGCAGAAACCATGCCTCGGTCATGGAGCTCCATACCAATGCTCTGCACACCACCCCTCCACCCCACGCCCACCCCTGCAGCATGGCCTGCTGCCCTGAGACAAAGAAGGCTTTTGCTAGGGTGGGAGCTGGATCTTCACCCACTGCCACCCCCCTGTTAGGAGCTGGGGATGCCACATCAGGGGCCTATTTCTGCTCTGTCTTTGCCCCTGTGTCTTCAGGCACGTCTCTATCTTCGGGACCGTAGCCTCCTGACCTGACAGAGGGGAATCAGGCCCCAATGGCATCGCACTGGTAACGTGCTGGGCTGCTGACTGCAAGGCCAGCAGTTCTGCTGCTCCGAGGCAGAGAGAGGAGGCGTTCTGCCACCGTGCAGTTACGGCCTCGGAAACCCACAGGAGCAGTCCTCCCCTGTCCCATATGCATTCGATGGCTCTGAGTTTGGGTTTGAGCTGCAGTTCACAAGGTGGGCTGTTTGAAACCACCAGCCATGCCTCGGGAGAAAGACCAGCTTTCTATGCCCATAAAGAGCTACTGTCTCAGAAACCCATAGAAGCAGTTCCACCCTGTCCCATAGAGTCACTGTGGGTTGGCACGGATTCGATGGCAGTGCGTGTTGAGATGGGGGAAGAGCCCTGGGGGCCCTGTCGGGTAAGTGCTAGGCCGCTGGCCCCAAGGTCCACAGCTTTGGAAGCTTTCATGGGGCCGCTGTGAATGGGGACTGACTTGCTGGCCGTGGATTTGACTGCGTCTTAAACAATGCTGGAGCTCCTGGGTGGTGAGGATGGTCACGGTGCTTGGGGCTGTTGGGACCCACCCCCAAGTGCCTCAGAGGAAAAAACCTGGTGACTGTGGGAAGCCAGAACTGACAGCCTGCTGGAAGGCAGTCCTACGGCGACAACCAAGCCCCCACTTCCCCGCCCGTGCTACTTGGCCAAACATTGGGTCGCTCCTTTTATGTGCCAAGACCGTTTCTGCCCCTCTGCTCCAGGTTCCAGCCGGGGAAACGAAGGCGTGGGGAGGGGAAGCGGCTCGCCCTGAGTCACAGGGCAAAGTTAGAACCCAGGGTCCTAAACACGGAGCCACACTGCCCCATGAGCAAGGGTTCCAGATCCCTGAAAAGGACCAGGATGACACTCAAATCTCCAAGGGCACCGGGCCATCAGAGTGGAAGTCCCGCCTGGATGCCTTTCAAGCACCCGTCTAAGAAGCCGCCAGGGGCGGTCCTGCTTTGTCCTGCAGGGTGGCTGTGATGGAGCCCGCTGGATGGCAGCGAGTGCTTGTGTGCTCTGGTGGTACCCTTCCCAGGGTGCTTGGCTCTGTCTCCTCCTCTGTGACTTCTCACGCCCTGACTGCTAGGGGCGGTGCTGGCTAGCAGGGCTTAGGGTGCCCATGGGAAGGAGCCGGGTTGCTGTTTAAACTATCATCACGTTCCTCGGGGAGCACCGAGTCCATCAACCTAGAGGGCCGGCCAGGGTGGGGCCCTGCACCCCAGCTGGGGCTCGACTGCAGAGATGGCCCTCGAGTGGCAAAGGAATCCTAGGGGTTACCAGGTCAAAGGCAAGGCTGAGCGCCAACATCCTGGCCCACCCCACCCCGAGCCCACTCACCAAACCACGCCTGCTGCTCCCCCTCCACCTCGATGGCCAGGCCAAAGTCGGCCAGCTTCACGGCCGCGCCCTTCAGCTTGGAGGCCAGCAGCAGGTTCTCAGGCTTCGCATTGGCACCAGCACAGGGAGGGAGGGAGGGACAAGAGGGCCGTCAGCAAAGTCAGCCCACACTTCTGGGGCCTGGTCTTACAGGAGGAGGGGCAGCTGGACCATCCAGGGACCCCTGTGCCCACCCGCAGGGTCAGGGGTTCTGTGTGCACCGTCCCAGCATTCCTCTGGACAGCCCTCGGCAGCAGGTTCTGGAGTTCCTGTTTCCACAGGGGTCCTGCTTACTGCCCCCCGAAACGGTCCTGCTCTTTCCTGCCGCAGGGCCTTGGCACTTCCTGTTCTCCTTGCCTGACTGCTCTCCCTCCAAGTTAGACAGGGATGGCCCCTCCTCTCAAACACTTCTCAGCACCCCAAAGGGGCCACAGGCGCCTGAGGGTGGCCTCTGCCTTAGCTCCTGGGTGTGATCCTCAGAGATCCCATCAGGATTTGTGAAGCTTCTCCTCGGCTGTCTGTCTACGTGCTTGCTCTCCATCGTATCCAAGTCCTCTGCATCACCAAGGCTTAGGGCGGTGTGCGGCGGGTGAGTGCTGGGGGAGGGGGGGTGTGGGAGAGTGGAATGAAGATGTGAAGGACTTTGCCAACTCTGAGAAGGCTGCTTGCATTTGTCATGTGCAGAAGGATGAAGAAACCAAGGTTCACAGGAGCAGGTGACTTGACCCAGATCCCACAGCTGAGATGGTCCGGGAGATCCAGGAGGAAGCATCCAGGAGGAAGGAAGGCCGAGTCTGACTCCAGAGCGGAGCTCTCAACCACTCTCAGCTGGGAGCGAGGAACTGGGATGGGGACCAGGAGCTAGCTCCCTAGGGGAGGCCCCACGCCTGGTCTCTTGGTCATCAGGGCTGCCACCCCTGCTGTCTCAGCTCCCAGGATTCCTGCATCTCCTGCTGCATGTGGAGGAACGGAAGTGTCCAACCCCCCACCCACCCCCAACCCACGCCTGGTGCAGAGGAGGCTCGGAGCCTGGGCCTGGCTGTTGGGGCATCTGGCTCCAGTCCTGGCCCCACTTAACAGCACCTGCGGGAAGTGTTGACAAACCTAGGATTCAGAGTTCCTGCTTGGGAAGGGGCTCAAAGGCCCTGGAGATGTCTGCCCACCTCCAGCCCTTTTCCCCACTGAGACTTCCAAAGGGTCCCACTTCTGACCCTTCACTGCCCAGCACTAGGTGGGAGTCAAACAAATATAGCTCCTGGTCTGCACAGCATGTTCAGGCCTCATTTGTCCTCTGGGCGTAGCATCCCCAGTGTGTCCTGGGTCCCGGCTGCAGTCCTGCCCTGGTTTGATGAATGTGCTACTAATTAATCTGCCCCGCGCGGCCTAAATTTGGACCTCCTCTGCTCCCTCCTCCCCGTGCCCAGGCTGCAGCTATAATGGGGACAGCCGCTCTGGGAGAATGGGCCTGCCATCTGGCCTGAGACCCTCTCAAGCACACGCTTGCCTGTAGTGGACACCACGTCCCCAGGAGCTCACTTGGAGCACCAGGGGGAAGCCGTCAACTGCTCTGTGACAGCCAGTGGTGGTGGTGATGGTGTCACCCCCAGAGGGGCCTGGGCTTGCCCAGGGGTGGAACCGAGGACAAGAACAGGGCGCAGAGCCTGCAGGAAACATAGAGGCTGCACTCTGGCTGTCCCGTCCCTCCCTGTGTGCAGCAAGCTGGAGGCCCCGAGGGCAGAACCGTGGAACCCCACAGCAGGAAAGACTCAAGGGGCATTGTCTAACCCGCACAGGACTAGCTCCTGGGACATGAGTCTCATGTCCCTGAAAAGCGGGCGCTTAATGGACAGATGCCTGGCAGGGTCACCCTAGAGGGACCACAGCAGGAGCAGCGACTGGATTGAGTGGCTTTGGGGCACCAGGGTCCTGAGGACACAGGGCCTGGGGTCAGAAGCTCCAGTGCTAGATGCTCCAGCAGGAGCTGCAGGTCCGTGGGCAATTCCTCCATCTCCTTAGGCCTTGGTGTCCTGCTCTGATCATCTTAAGAGGGCTGAGTGGCCAGTGGGAGACTCCATGCCTGCTTGGTCCTGGCAGTCTTCTTTAGGGGGACACTCAGAGAGCCCAATCCTCCTTGCCTTTCCCCCCCAAGCCTGGCAGACGTCCCAGGAGCAGAAAAACAACGTGGCAGCGTCCTGTCTCATTTGACATCCTCACCAACCCAGTGCAGAGGTTGCTATGGCAACCTCCATAGTAAAGAAGTGGATGCTTCGAGAGGTTAGGGAAGCCCGGGCAGCATCCAGGGTGCAGTAGAGCACTGATGAAGCAGACAACTCTCCTCTAGTTCTTTAAAATTTCCTCCTCTCACTCGTATGGCCTTAGCCTTACCTCACTAATCTTGCTAGACCTGCGCGTGCACATTGGTGCAATCAAGATCTTTCAATGCATGAAACTCAAGATAGATAAACCCCTCAGAAACAGTAAGAGGAGCAATGATTCCCTGAGGATCCAGGAAGAGGTGGGGGTTGAGGGAGGGACGGGTAGCAATGATGACTGTATAACCCCACTTGAGGGGAAAGAACATAAGAATTTTAAGTGAATGGATACATGGGATGGTGTAAGTTATGGGAAAATATTAATAATATATGATATATTAAGGATTCAGGGAGGGAGGGCTAAAAAAGAGGAGCCGAAACCAAGGGCTCAAGTAGAAATACATTGTCTTGGAAATGTTGATGGCAATAGATGTTCAAGTGTGCTTAATACTATTGAGTGATGGATTATTATAAGATTTGTAAGAGCTCCCCAATAAAATGATCAATTGAAGAAAAAAAAAGTCCAGGCCGAGCAGCTAGGGGGTGGCCTAAGTGGGATCTGGTCCCAGGCCCTTTAGTCCCTCTTGGCAGCTCAGCCTTGGGTTCCTGACTGGACATAAATACATAGGTGGGCGTGGGGCAGGTGGCTCACCTTCAGGTCCCGGTGCACCACCCCCATCTGGTGGCAGTGCAGGACAGCCTCCAGGATCTGCTGGATACAGTGACTGGGGAGAGAGGGGGGAAAGGGGACCCCGTGTGAGGGTCAGCAGAGC